GCCACTTTTGAAAACTTGCTCCCTGTGAGGAAACATCAAAACCTGGGGCACAGGCAAATGGGAGGAAGCTGCATGTCTTTCCAAGTCACAGCCATTATAAAACTATTCTCTCATCTCCAAGAAATTGCTGAGAGTTAATGCAACTTCAACACGTTAAGGAGTTCTGGTGATGTGGTCTGTAGGAAGCCGTGCTGTTAACGACAGGTGGTGACTGTATTTTCAGGTAAAGCAGCGGCTCCATGGAGGATGATGGGGAGTCTCTGCCCATGCTGCTACCGCCTCTGAAAACCTGCTGGGAGGTCAGTTAAGCGCAGGTTCTGACTCCATGGAAATCAGAGAGGTTTGTGTTTTGTCTCTGCCCCATAAACGCTTAGGTGCAAGTGTCAGAATGGCTGCTGCATATGCCCAAACCATGCCTGGTGTTTATGGAGCAACATTCCTGACGCTCATCATCTATGGCATCATCATCCCGAGTCCCATCATCTACGGCACCAGCCTCCAGCTCAGCACAGTGACAGGGGCTGGAGGGTGAAGAGGAGGCGCTGCAGGCGTCCTTCGAGACCCACTCATCCAGCCGTGCTGAGTGGCCTGTTCATCACGTGTTTGCGAGGTTGGTGTGAGGGGCTGTGTGTGAGCGCACAGGGGCCCGGGCATCATTCGCTCTCCTGAGGACAGGCCTCATGGAAGGGAAAAGCGGAGGAAATAGAAGGGAGCTGCAGCGTCAAACTCACGAGTGAAAGTGATTTATACCAAAAGGTGTCGGAGAAGCTGAATGAGTGCGTGCTCTGGTGACAGACAACAGAGTTTTCTAGAGAAAGCAGAGGGAAAGGAGGAAAGTCAAGGTCAGTGAGAGAAATGGGGAAGGGCCCCTTTTAAAAAGCTTCTGCCTCAAGAAACCATCTCTTAAGGGACATGCTGCTTTGGAGGTCTAACAGAATTGTTTCCAGAACTTCTGGAAAATCATCTGTAGGGCCTGTCCCAGGCCCGAGTCACAGGGTCTTCTGGAATATCATCTGTAGGACCCCAGGCCCAAGTCACAGGGTCTGCAGACCTAAGCACCTCACCTGCAGGCTTGGGAGTGCCCGTGTGGGACAGGCCCCCATTGGGCTGAGTGCTGTCCACCGGGGGGAACTCCAGGCTCATCCGAGGTTTTGGCTGATACTCCCGTCTAGGCTGGGAGGAAGCTTGCCTTATTCTGCATTGAAAAGAAAAAGATCAGACAGTCAATTAACAAGTGACAGGAAAGCCACAGAATCCAATGAGTGGGTGACTCACAGTCTCCTATTACTAATACCCTCTAGTTTCTAGCAATAAAAATAGAGTCTGACAAAGACCCTTGGATTTCTTCTGTACGTATACGCTAGTCCTTCTGGTGACGTGCCTGTGATGAGACCCTCACTGTCTTAGGCCCCACACTTCCGTCTTCATCTGGTCAGTGCTCATCATACAAATATATACAAATATGTACCATGCTGGGTAAACAAGGATGGATAAGACTTAGTTCTTGTCTCCATGCTGCTTATGGGCTGTAGAGAAGGTGAAAAGTAACTTACACAATAAATTGCACTAGGTGCTGTCAGAGAGACTAGTACAAAGAACTTCAGGAACACGGGGGTTCAGGGTACGGGAAGGAGCACCTTTTCATAGGGAAGCTGAGGAAGGGGATAATGAAGGGGTAGGAGCCAGCTCAGAAGGATTCCAGACAATCGCGTGGCAGAAAGTCAATGCACTGAGAGCATGAGGGAGGGAGGAACCACTGTGTGCTGGAGAGCGGACAAAAGTCGGAGACACTGAGTGGAGCAAGAAAGGCGAAAGGGATGACCAAGAAATGCCTTTAGCATGCCTCTGAATTCAATGCTGCAGTGCCAGGCATTCATCAGGCCAGGTCCACAGCAGACACACAAGGGTCGGGAGAGCGTAGGCATGGTGGTGACTGTGGAATGATATTTCTTTGAAAATATTTCAGAGGTTAAAAAGGAAAATGGTCCCTTTATATTCAACAAATGTCACACAGCCATGTAATACCTTCAGTGTTCTGAAGCGGGTGTAGTTAAGCCTTTCAAGAGGCTTCAGAGAGCTACACACATAGATACCCTGGTGCACTGACTGACGACCCACAATGCTCACTCAGGAGGAGGCTGGCAGTGAGGCTCCCAATGGCCTGACATGAACTGGGGTTTTCATTATGCATTAGTCATCCCAGCAGCTGTGAGAATCTGCTGTGACCTTGATCTGGAATGAAGGCTGCTCAGATGATGCTTTAATGAATATATGTTTAGCAGAATCATTCCACTTAATCAGGCTCAATAAAATATATCCGTTATATATATATGAATTATAGGGCAGAGCCACCACATATGGTTGTGCAGGTAGACGCAGACACACTATGATTACAGCTGCAAGCTGCATCTGAGTAGGTGGGGGGACAGGCAGATGGAAGCAGCTCTGGTAGAGGTGGAGGATTCACCACCACTCAGGGACACACAAGTGTGTAAAGTCTCGGGCTCTCAAATCAGATATGCCCGACTGTGAATCCTAATCCCACCACAGTGTGACCCTGGGCTAGGTGGTCAACCTCCGTGAGCCTCCGTCTGCACACCTGGAAGGTAAGGTAAAGATATGTAGCTCATACATATTCAGTATCTGATTAGAACACACCCTCAGCCAGTCACAGCGATTATCATTAGCATCCTCATATCCTGACAAGCAAGTGGCATGCAAGTATTGTTGTTGTGCACCACTGAGGCAGAAATGACTCACAGCTGACCCTCTAGTTTTCAGAAACAGTAAATCACATGGGAGGAGAATGTTCATCTTTCTCCCATGGTGCAGCTGGTGGATTCGAACCACATGCATTTGGATGGTAGTGCAGCTCATTACCAGTAGGCCACCAGGGCTGCTTTCATAAAGCCAAGACTCACTTAAACCAATCAAACAAAAACCCAAACAAACAAACAAACAAAAAAAAAAACCAACTCACTAAAAAAACCAAACAACCCAGCCTGTCCAGGATCAGCAGAAATTTTGGCTGAAGTTGGTCTTCAAACAGCATCCACATGCAAATTTAGAATGCAGGGACCGCACAGTACCTTTCCTCCAGTCGGACGGTGACCTGCTGCAGAATCTGGACTGCCTGCTTGTGGTACTCCAGCTGGGCCTGAACGAGTGCCGAGAGCTGGCTCACCTGCTCAATCTGCGGATTGAAACCACACCTCAGTGACCAGGCCACTGCCTTTACACAACCACTACCACCCAACGTCATGACAGCAGCTCCCAACACCGTCTACTGTATAATGACCATGTACTGAGCCAGGCTGAGATGGAGAGCTACTGAGAGTTCAGACTGAGTAAGGATCAAAAAGCCAACAGCATCCTCACACCTGGACACTCTAGTATCACAAGGAGAAGCAAACTTTGTGGGGGGGAAAGAAAGAAACCCAAACAAACCCCAAACCCAACTCTCATTAAATAACTGTATTTGTAACAAAAGCCTTTAGACTAGACTTTGCCTTGTATAAGCCTACATCTATCTAAAGGAGCACTGGCTGTGTAGTACGTTCCATGACGGGTTGCTAACCTAGAGGTTGCTGGTCTTTCACCAGTCGCTCTGATGGCTGAGTAGTAAGGAGTTGTGCTAGCAACCCAAAGGCAGGCAGTTCAAATTCACCTGCTCCTCCTTGGGAGAAAGATGGCCAATCTCCTCCCATGTGATTTAAATCCTCCACAAACTCCCCAGTAGGGTCAGCTATGAGTTTGTTTTGACTTGACTGCACACAACATTGTATCTATCTATACATATCTCACACAATCATATCACATAAGCACAGTTAAGTGTTCTGGATTCCCTTTCTTCTCAAAGTCAGCAACGGCTTGTTGTGATCCACACAGTCAAAAGCCTTTGCGTAGTAAATTACACACAGATAGACGTTCCTCTGGTACTTCCGCTTTCAGTTAAGATCCATCTTATATTGGCTATAATGTCCCTTAGTACCATGGCCTCTTCTAAACCCAGTCTGCACATCTGGCAATTCTTTGTTGATGTGCTGTTCCAGTAGTTTTTGGTTAATTTTCAGCAGGATCTTGCCTGCATGTGATATTAATGATACTGTTTGATAATTTCCACACTGTCAGGTCACCATTTTTGGGGGGATGGAAATAAATGCAGATGTCTTCCACTCCAGTGGCCAGGTGGTTGTACTCCAGATTTCTTGGCACAACCTGGTGAGCACATCCAGAGCAGCATGTGTTTGTTGAAATATGTCAATTGGTAGGCTGTTAATTCCTGGGGCCTTTCATTTTTATCAATTTCTTCAAAGCAGCTTGAACTTCCTCTTTTACCACCATAGGCTCTTGATCATATGTAGTTTCATGAACTTTTCTGTGTCAGCCCATTCTTTTTGGTATAGTGATTCTGTGCATTCCTTCCACCTTCTTATTTTCCACAAAAAAAAGCCAGGAAACACTGCATGGTTCAAAATCAGGAAAGGTGTATGCCAGGGGTGCTAGTCATTGCCCTGCTCTCTGATGCATAGCAGGTAACTGTGAAGACCATACATTGGATCACTTGCACCTTATTCTCCAGACTGACATCACTGCTCTGGAGAGGTCCCTGACAGCAGATTTTCAGAGTTGTGGTGCTGGAAGTCTCTTGAATATATCATGGACTGCTAAGAGAACAAACAGGAGATAGTGAAATCAGACTGCTCCCTGGAGGCAAGGATTCTGAAGCTCTATCTCACATACTTTAGGCATGTTGTCAGGAGGGACCAGTCCTTGGAGAGGGACATCATGCTTGGAAGGGAGGAGCAACAGTGCAGGAGAGGAAGACCCTGGAGGAGATGGACTGACTCAGTTACTGGAGTAATCAGGGTAGCTATGTCAGAGACAATGAGGTTGGTTCAGCATAGAGCAGGGTTCAGAGCTGTTGTACAGAGAGGGTCGCTATGATTCGCATATGACTCAATGGCACATAACAACATCACATGTATCTACTTAGAAAATACCTTTACCTAAGACGAAAGTGCGTAGACCAAAGAGCTTGATTCTTTGTTCTCCATTTTCAATATTAATTTTAACTGTCATTAAATCAGTTCCTAATTGTTAGTCTGGGCAAAGGGGACCAAAGAGAAGAATGAAGAATTCAGAACTCAAATGCTGATGGCGTTTCCTGCTGCTGATATAAAGAGCAAACGGCCTTGCATGTCTGGCTGAGCTAGCAGGAGGCTCCTAAATCAGAATGGAATGTCCCTCCCTAAAGACTCTGTTTCTAAAAATCCTCCCCACTAAGTTCACAGTGTGACTGCCCATTCTGCCTCTCCAGGATGAGGAACTCACCTGCGAGCTCCCCTTTCCCCCCTTTAATAAAGCTGCATTAAGCTTTCTCCCATTCTCTTGGATTTCTTCTTTAAGCCCACTAACCTAACCTAACACTAATTAATGAAAAACTCCTGAAAAGAGGGGTAAACAAAACAATGATCTACCCTATGTCTTTATTCTAAGTATTGTTATCCAGTGTGTGTGTGTGTGGGGGGTGTTGTTTGTTTTTTACTTGCTTTTTCCTTTAAGTGAAATGCCAGAAGTAGATAAGCTTTCTTCTTTTCTTAACCTGTCATCTTTAAGTTCTCTCCAGCCCTAATATTCTAAGTAGCATTGATTTTTCTTCCTCTTGTGTCTCAGGCTAAGGAGTAGCTTTGAACTCAAGAGGTGATTCTGTCTGTGGCTTTTAAGTGGTGAGGCCCTGGCTGTGAGAGAGCTATGCTGTGGTCAGGTCGCTCTCTCATGACCACTGTATCTCTTTTGAGAGGATAGGGAAAAGCTAGGGGTTTGTTAAACACACACCTACATTCACACATCCACACCCAACCAGGTCTCTGAGTGGAGGGAAGTCCTGATGGTTCCTCCAATGCCACAAGTCTAGACAAGGCGGTCACACACTGAATACCCTGATGCTATTAGGTCTCTCGTGAAGTTGACTCTTGACCGTGACTCAGATCTCAGGCCTCGTCCTGCCACAGCCTCACGATCACTGCTACGCCTGAGCCCTCTGTAGGGGTCACCGTGGCTGTCCGTCTTGTTGAGGACCTGCCTCTTTTTCATGATTCCCTAGCATCAGTTTCCTCTGATGAAAAGCCCCAAGGAAGCAAGGCGGAGCTTTGCCATTCTCCCTCCTATGGGCACGCTGGCTGTACTCCCATCCAAGACAGATTTGTTCATCCTTCTGGCGGTCCATGTTATTTTGAATATTTGTTTGTTGTTGAGTGTTGTCGTGTTGGGACAGACCCATAGCTGACCCTCCAGTAGGTTTTCAGAGACCATTAACTGCATGGGAGGAGACTGCCTATCTTTCCCCCACAGAGTAGTTGGTGGATTCAAACCAGGTGCCTTTGGGATTGCAGCACAGTTCCTTACCACTAGGCCATCAGAGCTCTCTTATTTGATGCCAGCTGAAGTGAAAGGCATCAGTTCTCTGGTCTATGTCTTAGTTACCTAGTGACCCTATTCTAGGATGCTACAAGAAGAAGACTTTAATTTATTCCCTCACAGTTCAGGAGTCTAGAGTCCAAAATCGGAGAATCAGCTCCAGAAGGCTTTCTCTGCTGGCTCTGGAGGAAGGTCCCCGTTTTCTTCACGATCTATAGGTTCAGAATTTCTTGGATTCTTCATGCGTGCTCTGCTCCGGGTCATCTTTCTTGGGGGTTCTGAGGGTTCCCCCTTCTCTGTTCTATTTCTTCTCTTTTTATCTCTTGTGAGATAAGAAGTGTTTCAGATCACACCCGAGGGAGACTCCCTCAACATCAGATCAGGGTTGTGATCTAATTAAGGTTCTTAGAATTCACTCTCTAATCCCCTTTACAACTGATGGTTGAGCTTACCTCAGATTATATCTTGTAGAATTCTACATCACTGCATAACCACCTCCAACCCTGCCTTCTTAACACCAGAGAGGTTAGATTTTACAATGTTGTTGTTGTTGTGTATGTAGAGTTGCAACTGACCCACAGCTGACCCTCCAGCAAGTTTTCAGTGGCGGTTAATCTTATGGAGGAGAGTGTCCATCCACATCCCCTCAGGCTGGCAGCACAGCTTACCTCTAGGCCATCAGGACCCAGCAAGGAGAAATCTCTTTCCTCATGGCTTTGAAGCTTAGCAAACTCAACAAAATGTAACTTCAAAAGCCATCTATAAACATGTAATAATCTGCAACCATGGTAACAGATTTTGATCTAAGTAATCTAGGTCCAATGTAGTTTCTACATTATAGTCATTACCCAGTAGGAATTATTTTTATAATACCCAAATAACTTTAAAATATAGACCCATCTAAGTTGGGTAATCAATCCTGGATGCATTATAATAGTTTGTTCCCTGACAACCTGAAGCCAATCTGTGCATTATTTCCACACAGTACTAATTTAAGTTATTGGGCTTTTACTTGAATCATCAGAAATATGCTTTATCTTCCCACTATTGGTAATTCTTTAGAATTCATTTATGGTTGTGTGTACTTTAGAGTTAGAACCAATTCATAGCTGACCCTGCTGTGGGTTTTCAGAGGCAGTAAATAAATCAAGATGCATTGATAATAATGGGTGACTGGAATGCAAAAGTTGGGAACAGAGAAAAAGAATCAGTAGTCGGAAAACATGGGCTTGGTGACAGAAATGAAGCTGGAGATAGAATGATTGAATTTTGTACAATCAATGACTTACTCATTGCCAATATGTTTTATTAGAAACATAAACACAGGTTATACACATGGATTTCACCTGATGGTATGCATAGGAATCAGATCGATTACATCTGTGGAAAAAAACCGCTGGAGAAGCTCAATATCAGCTGTGAAAACTAGGCCGGGAGCTGATTGTGGAACAGACCACCAACTACTCATATGCAA